ATTAAAAGCTACTTTAAATGCATATTGATGATTTTCATTGTTTTGTTGTCATACTTTACAACAGAAAATATATGAACGATTGATAAAAGAATGAATACAGCGACATCAGACTAAAAGAATATTGAACCTAACGAACCTGGATAGCATGAGTACTGCTACACCAAGGTCCAGTACCGAGGGAGTCAGATACCTCCCCACAGCGCATGCAGACCCCCAGGATGACATCACTACTATCACCACAGGAGGAAAGGGCCACGCCCCACACCTTAACACTAAATATTCTTGAAATCTGACCCCTCTGCATTCACGAGCCATATATTATATAACACATGTAAATTATTATGATAAATCAATGTTAGTTTTTTTTGTTTTTTTTTTATTTAAAAAAAGAAATATTCTGTGCTTAAAAATGCTAGCAATGGATTTATAATAATAGATAAGATCTTGCTAAATCATCGTTATAAAACAATAGAAATACTAAATTGATTTAAAAATTGTTTGTTTAAAAAAAAAAAACTTTTTAATAAAACTAATATTCAAATAACAGATACTTCGTATTCACTGTTTATAAAATTCATTCATAACAGTCACTGATTATTTTCCATAAGCTAAATTGAAGTAGTGTGTTTTAAGATGTTTTTTGAAACTTTCTACTGTGTTACAGTTTTTTAGATGACTTGGTAGTGAATTCCATAGCTTAGGAGCTGATGCCGAAAAACTCCTTTCACCAAATTTCAGTTTAGTTTTTGGTTGCACTAATCGTACAGGTGCATTTGAAGAGCGCAGATTTCGGGAAGTGGAATAAACTTGAATCATTTCCTGCATATATGATGGAGATTGTTGTTTCAGTGACTTGAAAGTATGTAATAAGATCTTGTAATTCACTCTATAAAAATAGTTTAATTTGTTTCTTATTAACAGACCTATTATTCTCTAAAATTGTTATCTTTTTTTAAGTTAAACTTTTTTGTATAAGTATGACTGAGAAAGATTCATAGTTTATCCGTTGCCTTGCCACTTGAAAGAACAGCATAAGATAAATAAATAAATAAATAAATAATTGTGTCTTTCTTTCTTTTGTTCATAAAAAATATTACCATCTATTAATTTATATACATGTTATAATTATATATACATATAAAATCAACATTACTTCAGTTTTTTTTAATAGACCTAATAACTTAAACATTGTTTGATTACCGTAGTGATACATACAAAAAGCTATTTTAAGGAAACTTTCATGAATAATTCTAAAATAACTAATTCAACCTTAATTTTTCAAGTATTTACTTTTTTTTCTTATAAAAAATATCTTAATACTGAAAATACACCAAAATTAAATCAAAATACCTAAAATTTCTTTTTCAACAATAATTATCAAGTTTTAAACTTATTACTTTTTTTAAACTTAAAATTCAACAATTTCAAATTAAAACTCAAACACAGACTCAATTATCACAGCTGTAGAACACAAAGAATTCTGCCGGATGATCTTGATTTAAATATTCCTGTTTTTTCTTTTGTATATTTCCACAAACTTTGAAAAATTATGATATTATAAGCAAATCTTCACTATAACTTTAGGAAGAAAGATATCACAATAATTGAAAAATAGAAGTATTATTTTAGTATCCAAAACAAAATCCACTATCAACACAGTCACTGTCATGTAAACACTGTCTCGAAACAAAATTTCCAATTCTCGTTTTCATTAATTGATCGTTCAATTAAATTTTCATGAAAACTTGAGACAGAGCTGCCTGTTAAATGTCTGTTAAATTACAAGCTCTTTTTTGATGCTAATCTTCTGGAATAATCAGTATCCTTCAAAAGATTGCATTTTTCCTGTAACATGGAACCAGTCTATTGAAAATTTTCAATAAGCATCAAAATGACACTGATTGATTGAAAATCAAGCAGGGGGGTTTATTGTTACTTTGTCATAAAACCATTCTGGGGAAAAAGAACAAAAACAACAAAATGGTAATTTCAAGCAGAAGAGAATATGGCCTGTCTGAGTGTTTTTATAGATGTCCAATAAACAAACTTTCTTCTGAGGATATAATTGAAGTAGTCAACAAATATGATCATCATCATCAAAGGGATATAAAACATCATTTTATGACTTTTTGCACAATAAAATTAATGGTCTCAGTAATATTGATACAATGGACATTTTAGCTTCCTATGCAAGTGTAAATTTTATATAAACCCTTTTGCATGCTCGGAAAATTGTTGTCTGCTAAAATTGTTGTGCCGTCTGCTTTATTTTTCAAATTTGATCTAATTTTCCTTAAAACTTCTCCAAGTCAAGACTTAAGCAATACATTTCTATGTTCACAAAAAGAAAGAGGACTGCTATAGTTTTGGTACTCCGTATGTTTGTTTTTCTGGTTCTTATGCCAATTTTAACACATTTTTGGTAAAATCTCTAGGGTCAATCCACCTGACTGGTTTTCCTGGATAACTGGTCAGTATGTTTTCCAATTTCTCCACAAGTAACCCAATACAAATCCCACATGATTTTGAATCAGCAGTGAGATACAAATGATCATTAGACTTCATGCCCAAGATAAAATGGAGAAATTTTGCCTTGCCCAAGGATTGAACCAGCAACCCTAATTTGGGTTATTAATCCGATGCTCACCCTAATGAGCTTGGCAGGCAGGTGTTAAATTCTAAAGGCTTGAAAGAAAAAAATGAGCATAACGTTCTATAATTCTCTAAGTTTTTTTTTAAGTTATACAAGTAAAATTCTATACTAGAGTTATCTGTCTTGGTCAATGAGATTCAAAAAATGTTATTTGGAACCCCGCAAATGTGGGTTTCTCCAAGCTTAATTCCCTAGTACAAACAAATTTTTACGGTCAAAGCTTCACTCATCATTACTGTCACAATAGATAAGTCAACCTGTTGTGCTTATTTGCAAAGCTGTAACTGTAAAAGTTTGTTTTTATCCCCAGATCAGCTGAGAAAACGCAAAATACTCCATACTCCGAAATTCCCAAGTATAAAGTCTATAATGATCAAGAAAGATATGTATGAAAGTTTACAAGGATCATGTGTAGATCAGCGGTGGTGAAGAATGTTTACCTTAAATAAAGTAGGTCTGAAATTTTCTAAAATCATAAAAGGGGTTATAACTCTGTAAAAATCAATGGAAAGTTTATATTATAGCCTATTTTCATGTCCCCCTTGACATGTGTGAAAGCTTTGAGTGAAAAATACCAAGGAGAAATGAAATCTTAAAAAAAACAAAAACAAAAAAACAAACAATAATGATGGGAGTTGACTAGAAATGATCTCACAATTATCTGAACAATATTCCAGCAAAAATAAACCAAGTGAAATTAAAAATTTAAACAGACATGTATTCAAAATTTAAACAGACATGTATTCAAAATTTAAACAGACATGTATAACAAACAGATCTACAACATTTTGTACAGATAGAAGAAGAATGATTATAACATAAATAACACAAAAAAAGACAAACAGACAGACATACAAATACCTCTAGTTCTCACCTTGTTTACAATTAAGAATCTTCTAGCCTTCTGAACGCATGAAGGAGAGATAAAAATAACCTTACACATAATGCATTCAAAGCATCGCAACTCCCTGAAAATGCCTTGCCAAATAATAATATGTTTTTTTTGGGGGAAAATCTAATACTAACTACCATAGAAATTCATCTGATTGATTTATAAAAAATGTATAAAAAAAGTTCCATTTTATTGTGTGAAATTTTACATTTGGTTTTTCAGCAAAATCTAATTCTAACTACCATAGAAATTCATCTGACCGATTTAAATCTAAAAAAAAAGTTCTGTTTTATTGTGCGAAATTTTAAATTTGGTTTTTCGGCAAAATTTAATTCTAACTACTATAGAAATTTGTTTGACTGATTTAAATCTAAAAAAAAAAGTTCCGTTTTATTGTGCAAAATTTTATATTTCATTTTTCGGCAAAATCTTATTCTAACTACCATAGATAGAAATTTATCAGATCAATTAATATCTATAATAAAAATTTCAATTTTTTGCTTTGATTTATAATTATGCCAAATGTCCAAACAGTCAAGCATGGAAAAAGTATCTGATCTCCTTATTTATTTATTATTTCAGACAATGGAGCAATATTTGGGTAGCCTTCTACAAATCTACATGGAAAGTTTTTTATATCAAGGATTTATCTGCATTTCAATTCAGAATTTCCTTGTACAACATTGGCAGTACCCATGAAATACTAATATGTAACAGTTTGTGCTAAGGGGGAGACAACCACAGGAAAAAGACTTCAATTCATAATGAATCTTAAATCTACAACTAACATATCAGGTGACCATTGTAAACTCTAATAAATTTTTATTGTAAGAAATTATGATTTTCCATCAGCAACTATGATTTTATATCAGCAACTATGATTTTGCATCAACAAATATGATTTTGCATCTGCAATCATGATTTTGCGTCAGCAATTATAACTTTACATCAGCAAATATAAATATAATTTGGCATCAGCAAATATGTTTTTTGTGTCAACAATTATGATTTTGCGTCACCAAATATGATTTTGCGTCAGCAATTATGATATTTCCTCAGCATTTATGATTTTGCCTCAGCATTTATGATTTTGCGTCAGCAACTATGATACTGCATCAGCGATTATGATTTTGCTTCAGCAACTATGATATTGCATCAGCGATTATGATTTTGCTTCAGCAACTATGATATTGCATCAGCGATTATGATTTTGCTTCAGCAACTATGATATTGCATCAGCGATTATGATTTTGCTTCAGCAACTATGATACTGCATCAGCGATTATGATTTTGCTTCAGCAACTATGATATTGCATCAGCGATTATGATTTTGCATCAGCAAATATGATTTTGCATCAGCAATTATGATATTGCATTAGCAAACTGGTTATACCAATTATCTCCTATTTAGTTATTGGGCTATTTGTAATTAATTACGGAATTATATATAATTACCTGTCTGGAAGAATGCTCATCTTCACTAGCAGAGAGTTCACCAATAGACTTCCCCTGTAATATATATATTATAATCTAATTATATATGAATATATATAATATATATATTATAATCTAATTATACATTAATATATATAATAATCAAATAATATATCAATAAAAAGAGGATATTCAAGTTTTTTTCTCTTTTTTTGACCCAACAATTTGTCTATAATTTTGCATATTGGCTGAATTAATAAAAAGAAAATCCGGCAAGGCACCAGTGAAAATATGAAAAATATGTTTCACTGCAGTGAAAAATAAATTTTGTACAGTGAAAATACAGAAAATGAAAATGAGCATTTTATTTCATCATTATTTCTCAATATATCATTTATAACTATATAATAAATATATATTTATACAATTAAATTTAAATTACTCATTTTTCATTAATAAAATCTAATATCAATAACAGGTTAAATCTTCTGTTGGTCTGTATGTAAGCAATGTAAAGATTTAAACCTTTTTGATACCAGAGTCAAAGCAAAATACATGTACTTATAATTAAAATGTTAAATTTATACCCGCGCCTTATAGGTGGTCTTAGTCTTATAGGCGAGTAAATATCAAAGTTGGATGAAAAGTCCTTACAAAAATATTTGTTATACCCAATGTACTTATAAGTGGGTACACTCATTACACAGTGATATTGACATATGCATCATTTAACTTATGGTCCAATTCAGAGCATTCTCTCTTTACATTTTTCAACATCATTAAAATTTTATTATCAATATTTAAAATAATGGGAAAAGAGACATATGAGTTTTTTTTTTCAATTATATAATTTTCGTTGACATAACTGATAAAATGCAATACTTTATAGATCATACATCAAAAATGGCACTTTGTCATAATTATGAACAAACAGCACATGATTAAAAATTGAAGCCCTTTTTTTGCATGTTATAATAACTGCCTTTATATTTCTGAATCGGTCATTATAATAAATTGCCCATACATTATCAATAATAACAACAATTGTACCTGAATAAAAAAACAAATTAAATATAAATGATAAAAATTCATGACAGGTAGCACTAAATTATCACACACCAGAGGGTATGAATCGCAAATTAGCGTATATAAAATCTATTCAATTCCATTTCAACATGCTTACGTTTACATAAAGTCACTAAACATGATAATGAATAAATACATATAATATGAGTTAATATGTCTATGTAAAATAAAAAAGGTATCCAAGTTGGGGCCTCAAAAAGAAAACAAGAGGGCCATGATGGCCCTGAGGTCGCTCACCTGTATATAGCCCCCCCCCCCGGCCCAATTTTTACCCAAGGGCTTTTATTTGTTTATTTGAACAGACTTGGTAGACACCCATAAGAAGATGTTTCATGCAAAACATCTAAGTTCTAGCTTATTAGGTTTTTTAAAAGAAGATTTTTTAAGTTTTTACTTTACACATATAGTTAAAAACAATGACACCCCTCGGGTTTATTTGAACAAACTTTGTAGATATTTACTTAAAGATGTTTCATGCTTAATATCTAAACTCTAGCTATTTGGGTTTTTTCAAAGAAGATTTTTAAGTTTTTGCTATACACATATAAGGAAAATCAATGACCCCCGGGGCGGGGCCAGTTTTGACCCCAGGGCTTTTATTTGAACATACTTGGTAGACACCCATTAGAACATGTCTCATGCTAAATATCTTAGCTCTAGCTCTTTGGGTTCTTTAAAAGAAGATTTTTTAAGTTTTTACTATATGAATATAGGGAAAATCAATGACCCCCTGGGGCGGGGCCAATTTTGACCCCAGGGCTTTTATTTGAACAAACTTGGTAGACATTCACTAGAAGATGTTTCATGCCAAATATCTAAGCTCTAGCTCTTACAGTTCTTTAAAAGAAGATTTTTTAAGTTTTTACTATATGCATATAGGGCAAATCAATGACCCCCGGGGCCGGGCCAATTTAGACCCCAGGGCTTTTATTTGAACAAACTTGGTAGACATTCACTAGAAGATGTTTCATGCCAAATATCTTAGCTCTAGCGCTTTCGGTTCTTTAAAAGAAGATTTTTTAAGTTTTTACTATATGCATTTAGGGAAAATAAATGACCCCCTGGGGCGGGGCCAATTTGGACCCCAGGGCTTTTATTTGAACAAACTTGGTAGACATTCACTAAAAGATGTTTCATGCCAAATATCTAAGCTCTAGCTCTTACAGTTCTTTAAAAGAAGATTTTTTAAGTTTTTACTATATGCATATAGGAAAAATCAATGACCCCCTGGGGCGGGGCCAATTTTGACCCCAGGGCTTTTATTTGAACAAACTTGGTAGACATTCACTAGAAGATGTTTTATGCCAAATATCTAAGCTCTAGCTCTTACAGTTCTTTAAAAGAAGATTTTTTAAGTTTTTACTATATGCATATAGGGAAAATCAATGACCCCCCAGGGCTGGGCCAATTTTGACCCCAGGGCTTTTATTTGAACAAACTTGGTAGACATTCACTAGAAGATGTTTTATGCCAAATATCTTAGCTCTAGCTCTTTGGGTTCTTTAAAAGAAGATTTTTTAAGTTTTTACTATATGCATATAGGGAAAATCAATGACCCCCCAGGGCGGGGCCAATTTTGACCCCTGGGCTTTTATTTGAACAAACTTGGTAGACATTCACTAGAAGATGTTTCATGCCAAATATCTAAGCTCTAGCTCTTTGGGTTCATTAAAAGAAGATTTTTTAAGTTTTTACTATATGCATATAGGGAAAAATCAATGACCCCCTGGGGCGGGGCCAATTTTGACCCCAGGGCTTTTATTTGAACAAACTTGGTAGACACTCACTAGAAGAAGTTTCATGCCAAATATCTTAGCTCTAGCTCTTACGGTTCTTTAAAAGAAGATTTTTTAAGTTTTTACTATATGCATATAGGGAAAATCAATGACCCCCCGGGGCGGGGCCAATTTTGACCCCAGGGCTTTTATTTGAACAAACTTGGTAGACACTCATTAGAAGATGTTTCATGCCAAATATCTAAGCTCTAGCTCTTAGGGTTGTTTAAAAGAAGATATTTAAAGATTTTTCTTTCGGTTGCCATGGCAACCAGAGTTCTGCATGGAATTAAATTCTTTGAACAATTTTTAAAGGTTACCACCAAAGGAACATTCCTGTGAAGTTTGGATGAAATTGGCTCAGTGGTTTATGAGGAGATGTCATTTAAAGCAAAAGTTTACGGACGGACGACGGACGACGGACGGACGACGGACGGACGGACGGACGCCGGACGAAAAGCGATCACAAAAGCTCACCCTGTCACTTTGTGACAGGTGAGCTAAAAAAAAGAAAACAAGAGGGCAATGTTGGTCTTGGATTGCTCACCTGAGATACACTGCTAGAAAAGGTCACAATTTCAGTAATAAGATAATTACATTGGCTTTTTTATTTTCTAACAAAGCATCATAATCTTTTCAATATTTGAAGATGTCAGCTACTATTCTTGCTTCATGCCAAATAACTAAGCTCTTGACATTGAGGTTCACAAAATAAGACATCAATGTATTTTTTCTATACAAGTCTTTACAAGCTAAGTGACTGCTGAGGTAGGGTCAATTTTGATCCCTTAGGGTCATGATTTACATAACAGTTGTGGACCAACCACAAAGTGATGCTACATACACAATATGAAAACATGCAGAGAAGATTTTTTAAATACATTTTTACTATATAACTTGAAAAGTCTATATAAACTAAGTGGCCACAGGGTGGGGCCATTTTTGACCCAAGGGGAATGATTTATACAAATTTCCTAGAGGACCACAATGTGATGCTTACACATGCCAAAAAATCTAAGCCCTGGGCATTGTAGTTTCTGAGAAGAAGATTTTTAAAGTTTTCATATTTAAGTTTATTTCAGCTCCTGTGACCTACTTATGCACCAGACTTGAAGCATTCATATATATTTCTTAGAAGACCACCTAAAAATCATTTCCGTGAAGTTTGATCAAAATCCATTAAGTAGTTTAAAAGGAGATGTTGTTTAAAGAAATTGTTGACAACATGACAGACAACTTAGATGACAGACACACTGCCATCACAAAAGCTCACAAGAGTCTGAGCACTTTGTGCTAAGGTGAGCAAAAAAGAAAAAAATGTTAAAACCTATGTATTTTGGTAGCAATCACATATTTTTATATATTTTATCAAATAAATTAATAAAAAAAACAAAAACATCAAATTAATTTGTATTATACCTTTACCATGATGAGACTATTATATAATTATGATACCTTGGTTAATTTATAGACATTACTTGATAGTAATTACAAATGTCAAGCCCTTATATGGTATTGAAATATAATATAAACAAGTAAACATTTAAGTAAAAGGGACTCCACTGACGTTTTTTGACATGACGGGACTGGAAATAATTTTTTGAGATTATTACTCCATTTGATGAAGATCTATGCTAATAACTTATGTGCAAAATTTCAGATCATTAGCTTCCTCAGTTTTTCCAGAATAATTATTATAATAGTGAAAAATAACCCAAAATTGAAAAGCGTTTAAACGCTTTTCACTCAAATCGGACTGAGCATAGCACAAACATATGATTTTCAATGTATTTCTTGTGAATTTCCTAGTTATATCTTATTTATATTTCTGTTTAAAGTGCTCATGTTTATCTATTTAAAAATTAAAATGTTATGTTTTAGGCTTATAAACCTCAGTGGAGTTCCTTTAAACATTCAAAATGTAAAAACAATCATAGCTTCCTCACATAAAACAATTCTGATTATCTTTTTATAACTAAAATTAAGAAAATAATAGATATTTTTTATATAAATTTTATAATTAATCAGTTAACTTAAGTCATAATGTTACAACTTTTTCTATGTTTTACAAGTTTAAAATTTTTTTACAGTCTATCTAACACCTAAAAATCAATGAAAAAACTGTGCAGTTGTTAAAGCAGCACACCTAAAGTAAAATAATGTGAGGCGAACAAATATTGCAATCGGCACTTACAATCCACAAAAATTACCAAAAATTTGTCAACATAATTATGCAAAAACAGCCCTTGCTGCATTAGTAATGCAGTAGAAATTTGATGATAAAATTCTGCAAAATCAGCGTTAAACCTTTCTTAAAAGTTTAGTGCATTTTCTCATTATTGATTTTCATGAAATATTTAGGCTCATCTGGAGGTGTGCAGCTTTAAAAACAAATCAAATTCCAAGGAAAACATGTGCAGTGTAACAACAAATTGCAGACTAATGTCAATACAGGGGATATTAAAACAATGGAAGAAACCTCACACACTTCAATACTGAACTAATTCTATTGAAGTTTAGATAGTGAATGATTTGAATTCCATGTAATTAGTATGGTATTAATTCAAGCGTTTTATAGACTCTAATGTAATCAACAAGAATAAATCATTGAAATGCTTGTTTGAAATAATCATTTTCATTCAGGTGCTTGTTTTGTCAGGCAAAACTTGCATTGTGCATTGGATTTGCCCTGATTTGAACTTTAAGGTACATTTATTGTAAGTTGCAACTTAGGAAGCCCTCTGGAAAACTCATTTTAGAAGACTGTTAAGTATTATTTTACAGAAATAACTGGCTTTTACATGAATGGTGTTAAGCACAATTACACCAGACATTTATTTTTAATATCACATCCAAAAGCCTTGTTAGTAAATTTAGTTGAAGTAGCAATTAAGGGATCAAGCACACAACACCCAATTTTGTTGTTTAAGAAAATCAAAATGCTTCACTTAAAGAGCCAATGGTGTAGTCAGCTTAGTCAAAATGCATGGATTTGGTAAGCAGACAATAACCTTTGACCAATTTCAATGACCTTTGACCAGAAACAATGACCTTTTACCAGTGACAATGACCTTTGACCAATGACAATGAGCACCAAGTAAATAAAAGATTTCAAACACAATAATTCAGAATAAGTACATATGACACTTAACCTTTTGAGGGAAGAAAGCATGATGTGTATGTAATAAATTAAATTTTGTCAATGAAAATTAAGTTATTTATTTAAAATTTGTTAAAATTGTGAAAGAATGAATACATGAAACCATGCAATTACGAATTATAAACAAATAATTGTAGTTATGTATAGACCGAATCCCTACAATTCATCCACCTTCAGGAAACATAGTCTATTCCAAAGTAAATTTTCTTGCAAAGGTTCTTGCAGTCATAAATCTTGAATACATAAAATTTTGTATTATTTCAAATGTATGTAGGAGCTATATCAAACAAATTATCAGGTGCAATTTCTTTTCAGGATCATCTAAAAAGCTATATGACCTTTGATAGAAAAAGCCACCTTGGAATGGACTATGTTAACATTAATAATATTATAATTATTATTATACAAATATGAAGTTAAACCAACAACAACAAAACAATTGCATTATGGGGCTGTTAGGGTAAGAGTGTTAGTCGTTTACTTGTCAACAATGTTAACTAACAACATTTTGTTAATCCAATCAAACAAGTAACAAAATGTTAGTTTGTATAGTGTGCATCGACATACAGAATTTGCTGACGACCCGCGTGAAAGCGGGTTCTCAATATTTTCCTTCGTATTTTCACGTAATTGAAGTTCAATTAATTGTGCACGTAATTCCTCTGTATGCCCGTTAGCTTCAAGAGCCTGCTGTTCCGCCAATTTCATCTCCTCCCTGAGACTGAAAACCTCATCCTGTGTAAGCGTTTACAAAAGTTAAATAAAAAAATTTTCAAAAGCAAAAGCAAAAATAAAAGCCATAACAAACTGACTACAATCACCACGGCAACTGAAACCTCACAACATAAACTGCGGTTAATATTTCAACATCATAACAATAAATTAAAACACTATTCACACAGTACCACACTTCAAATCAACCAAAGTCACTCTCTTCAACTGCAAACAAAATGATGACAACTAGGTGAAACATCAAAATTATCAATATGATTGACAGACAAAACCTGTAACAAAAGGAAACTATTATCATAAGCTAGAATTTATTAGTTTGCCTTCCTCCAAAACTAATTGTTAGTATTTATTCAAGAAAAGGAGGGAAAATGTAACAAAAATTTCATGAAAATTAGTGCAATTCTAACATATATAGAATGGTATCTTACCTTATAAGGAATGTAATGATATGACGGTGGATTCACATCAATTGTATGACGTAAGTCAATATACTGGGCAACTTGAAGAGACATTCTGATTGGTTATTTCAAATTTAAAAATTATCCAATCAGAGGTAGGCTTACATTAATCCAATCATATGTAACTTTACAATCACCCAATCAGAAGTCAAGATTTATTTTTAGCACAACTATATGTTACTGACATAATTCACTATTTTTATAATTTAAATTTTTGTCTCCATGAAAATATAAAATCCTCAATAAAATTTTAAGTTATTACACTTTTACACATCTATTATTCAAATCATGTACTGAAATATAAGAAACTATTAAAGATTTCATTCCAATTTGTCAACTTAAAGACAAATATAACTTGTGTTACTTCGATAACTTTTTGAACATTTTTATTAAATCAGATTTTTGCAGAATTTATAATTACAGTAATTTTTATCCAAAATAAACTCTGGCTTGATTCTTTTTTAATTTTTTAGAAATAATTCAATTTTTTAAAAATAAAATGTATTACACCAAAATGGCATGAAACTCAGTGCATAAAATTATATTCCCATATGCACAAAACTTATTTTCATCTGCACCTTTCTTTTCTTCTTAATATTTATTTCTTATATGACGTCAGAGAAAAGTCGTAAGATTTTTCGATTAAGATAATTTAGTAAAATTGTAACAAACAAACATTTAAACTGTATAAGAGGCCAAAACACGAGAAAACAATTAAATCAATAGCTAGACTCTGTTTTAAATTTCCTATTGTCAATTGATCTTTAAAAAAGTATACGGAATTGAATTCTAAATTCAAAGCTCGTAAAAAGTACGTAATTTACAGCATTTCTGGCAAGCCTTCATTCATCATGATTAATTGATTTTCCATCAATCTTGTGCAGACAAATGTTTTAGAAATAAACAAATGGGATTATATGGTCAATAAATTAGATGAGTATTCACACACCTTATCTTACAACAGATTGTTAATTAAATTGTGAGAACAAACGAACCACTGTCTCTATGCTTAGCTGCATGTCCTTACAAAATATTTCAGTCTTCTTCGCAATAAATTCTATATAAAAACACTATTAGAATGTTTGTGAAAAATTGATCCACTCTTAACCACTGTCATTGAAACAAAGTACTCAAGACATTTTACCAACTACCCTTCCAAACCTGACTACCATTGGTCAGCTTTTTGTGGCAAAGGTAACTCTGACCTTGACCTTTGACCTAATTACCTCAAAATTCTAATCACTGATTGGACAACTTTTAAAAAAAAAATTTAGGTCAAGGTGACTAGTGCCAATTTATCACCAACCTCCCTACAAGATTTTGAGGGCTGTTTGATTGTACAAGCTTAGTGCTAATATAAACTGACCTACAAAATTAATGCAATGCAATATTCTCCCAATTTTTTTAGAAGGTGCATCAAATTCTCTTTTGTAAATTATTCTATTTATTTTAATTGAGAGACAATAAAGTAAAACATTTTCTGAATTATCATCAAGGCATTGTCTAGCTATAAAAGCAAAACTAATGTATTACAGTAAAATTTAGAGCCTGTCTTATACACAGTGTGAATTATAGATGAGGCGGTACTCAACAAGCTTTGGGCTTACATACATGTACATAGATACACAATCAAATAGATCAAAGATCATGGTATTTTCAAATTTACCATACAGGGAACTTACAGGCGCAACAATTATCAGCCATGTATGTTTGGTCACAGTAAATGTTCCCCCCCCCCCCAAAAAAAAAAAAATAAAAAAATACCAACATATGAAGGTCAGGGAAAAGGTCAGGGAAAAGGACTAGGAAAAGGACTATCACAATTTTGTATATACTTTTTACACTAACTATTTACCACAGTTTCTAAACCATATACAACACAATACATAATTTACCACATGTTTTTACCACAATTTTACCACAGTTCTAAAACTATTATTATATATTTGTGTGCATTTTACCATGTCATATACCTTTTTAACTTTTTTAGATTTCCTTTTATGTATTTTCAATCCTACAAAATGGACCTTATGTCTTTTCCTTTTACCCTGAATAATTAGATTATAATCTTCATAATGAGAACAAAATGGACCTTATGTCTTTTCCTTTTACCCTGAATAATTAGATTATAATCTTCATAATGAGTACAAAATGCACCTTATGTCTTTTCCTTTTACCCTGAATAATTAGATTATAATCTTCATAATGAGTACAAAATAGACCTTATGTCTTTTCCTTTTACCCTGAATAATTAGATTATAATCTTCATAATGAGTACAAAATGGACCTTATGTCTTTTCCTTTTACCCTGAATAATAAGATTAAAATCGTCATAATGAGTACAAAATGGACCTTATGTCTTTTCCTGTTAGATTACAATCTTCATAATGAGTACAAAATGCACCTTATGTCTTTTCCTTTTACCCTGAATAATTAGATTAAAATCTTCATAATGAGTACAAAATAGACCTTATGTCTTTTCCTTTTACCCTGAATCATAAATTAGATTATAATTTTCATAATGTCAGAGTACATTTAAATGGACCTTATGTCTTTTCATTTTATCCTGAATAATTAGATTATTATATTCATAATGAGTACAAAATGGACCTTATGTCTTTTCCTTTTACACTGAATAATTAGATTATAATCTTCATAATGAGTACAAAATGGACCTTATGTCTTTTCCTGTTAGATTACAATCTTCATAATGAGTACAAAATGCACCTTATGTCTTTTCCTTTTACCCTGAATAATTAGATTAAAATCTTCATAATGAGTACAAAATAGACCTTATGTCTTTTCCTTTTACCCTGAATCATAAATAAGATTATAATTTTCATAATGTCAGAGTACATTTAAATGGACCTTATGTCTTTTCCTTTTATCCTGAATAATTAAATTATAATCTTCATAATGAGTACAAAATAGACCTGATGTCTTTTCCTTTTACCCTGAATTATTCTAATTAAATTATAATCTTCATAATGAGTATAAAATGGACCCTATGTCTTTTCCTTTTACCCTGAATAATTAGATTATAATCTTCATAATGAGTACAAAATGGACCTTATGTCTTTTCCTTTTACCCTGAATAATTAGATTATAATTTTCATAATGAGTATAAAATGGACCTTATGTCTTTTCCTTTTACCCTGAATAATTGTATTATAATCTTCATAATGAGTGCAAAATAAACCTTATGTCTTTTCCTTTTACCCTGAATGATTATATTATAATCTTCATAATCATGTATCAAACTTGTTGGTTTAGGTTAACTATATCCAGTCAAAATTCAGAACTTAACCCCAACAACCTTTTTAATATCTTAAATGAACTTTTCTATCTTTCAATCTGGACGAAACCGCATTCATCATCTATTTGGACAATTCTCAAATATTTTTTTTTTAGCAGCAAATAGTGCAGACCATGTTTTAGATGGCACAGAATGATCATCTGAGTAGATCCAGTTGCCACTAGCAGGCAGATAGTTTAAGATACCAGTTGGGGTAAACTCTGGTTATAACATCTTTTCTATAGACATTGCAGGGTAAAATTAAAATATAACAGTTCTGTTCAAAACATTGCAACAGTATACTTACACTGTCAATTCATATCTATAGACTTTGCAGGGGTAAAAACAAAACATAACCAAATATACAAGATTGTCAAAACAGGGGCTTTACTGTTTGCGTTCGTTACGAGATGAACACAAGATGAACACGGGATATCTGACAGAAGTGGATCATCGAGTAAATACTGATATAAACATTTAATACCAGTTTAATGCCAGTTAAACCACCAAAATGTCATTTACAAAATAAATCGGTCGGTTTTGACGAGTTGATTATTCAACAAGGGATTTACATCTGTCAAGAATATCTGTATGATTTTGTAAAAACATATAATTTCTCTTTGTGTTGAAGACTTGATATAATGTCATCTCCACAAAAAGGATATAATCTTTACAACTTGAGGTGAACTGGTGCAATTTCAGTTTGTGCATAATGAAGAACAGTTTATCCTCCAAAGCATTTCTTACATGATCGGAAAAAACATACCATTTCTCAGGGCGAGAAAAATGTGCAGTTGGAATACCGTTCAGTACTGACTGAGCTCTGTCCAGGACTTGAACCTGGGACTGTCAGAATACTTTTCAGTACCGACTGAGCTATCTATCTGCTTACACATCTTTTCCCCTACATAGTGAAAAGTTCTACCATGACATATATACATTCTGAATTAGTTTAGTTAAGTTTATGCTAATTAATTTAAGTTTGATAGTGTAAGAAGCTATAAGCTCATTGAAACTCTCTCAAATCCATTCCTGGAACCTACCAGTACTAAATAATGAGTGTAAAGTTTCTTGCTCACTGAAACAACAGCTTGCCCAAGATAGGGTTTGAAACCACGCGGGCCAGCAATCCTTAGATACTTAAGTATGACATGTTAACCACTAGGCCAGGACAGATCGGCACATCAACACCACAGTGCCCCCAAAACACACCACTCTAACATCTACATCATATAATGCCCCCAAAAAAC